AAGTTAATCACTTCTCCTGCATCCACTCTCCTATCTGCCCACTATTATTTTTGTGTAGATAATATAGAAAGAGTATAATGAGACTTTGGCAATAAAGAATCACAAAACTAAGATTTCAGACACTTTAAAAATATAACGTTCCGATTATCTTTGTAAAATAAGATGCCTACAGAAAGCAATATGCATTAGTTTAGTATTCACAAGACCATCCATTCATAAAATTCAACCCAGTCATTTAAAATGCAATTTAATCTCTATCCATTTGAATATTCTGATGCAAATATATTTTTTTAAATAAATATATTCACGATTTGATGGAGAGCAAAAATAACAAGTGAGAAACAATAAGTTGATATTCCACAACGCTATGAAAAATTCAAAACAAATAATGTATTATGTTGGTCCGTGTTATATGATTTCGCATGATGTAATAGAATATCTTAAAAATACCTTTTACTACCTATAAAATGAACGTATTTCAAGACAAGTTAGTAAATTGTGTTTCGATTTCAGTGTGAGATTAGGCATTAAAATTATAATATAAGAGGCATAACTTCTTAGTTAACCGAAATGGCAACGCGTAGCAATATCACGCGTTTCACATGATAACATTATTATAGTACTATTCAGGAATACGCTTACAATCTGTACGAGACACTGTACGAGAAATTCGAATGCGTAGCATTCATTTGTTTTACGAATAAAAATATTAATACAGAGATGTGAAGATACCATCATGGCGTATTTATCAATCTCCATAATTATACACAGTTTTTGGTCCTTCGGCCCACCATCAAGTGAGCTGTAAGGTTGTTTACCATTGCAATTATATTAAAAAAATTACGCCTTTGACGTTTTTATAAATAAGAGCATTTATCTATACATATTAATCTGATTTAATAAACATTTTCTATGTATAAGTAAGTCATAGTACTTAGTTAAACGTAGCATTTCAAGCCAATATTTTATCTACCAAGTTGTATAGCATCAGGAATAGCTATTTCATTAACTTAATTCACATTACGTCAAAAGGCATTTACAGAAACCGCTAAGCTCCGGACTAGTAAACTTATGCCCTGCTTTCGACCGGAACTTAGTGCTTCAACTTCGCCTTGATTCATACTAACCTACTTCACTGAATTTAAATATTGGAAAATCATAGGAGTGCGCATAAATTTATAAGATTCTGAAGAAAGTATGTCATATATGAACGATAAAATTGAATTTCATCACTGGAAAGAATTTTTTATTTATTTCACATAATAATAAAAACGTTCGTCCTGACTAACTAACAATATGCAGTCAAAACTACTAATAATACTAACTTTAAAAAGCTGAAATAAACGTAGATGTATTTTATAACATAAATAATATCTATAGATAAGAAAACCTTTTTGGAAATTTTAATTCAATGATTCTCCGTATACAAGTCCCTGATATAATTATTCTGAAATGAAAATCAAATCACTACATTGCTTTAAATAAAATTGTGGGTAATGAAATATCTAACTCGAGACATGTCGCACAATGCCATCTAGTTCTCTACTATGTAAAGCTTAGACTATAACTAATAAAAATTCTGAAATACTGTTTTAGTAATTTTTGTAATAATAAAATAATATTCCTGTCTAAAAAATAACTAGGTACCAATACAACCACTACTGAACCTTATATAATTAGACACTCCTTATGTTTTGGCTAATATAATCACACAAAACATATAATTAACAATAAAATATTAAAACAACTTTCCTGTCATTAGGTATATAAATAAAAATATATTCGACGAGGTATCGATCCTAATACCTCATAAGTTAACTGATACTAAACTTGATACGAACGCGGCGTTGTGTAATGTTATTGATTGACCATAAACATGGAACATTGTCGGTACGTGCCGCAATCCGTTCCCGTCGCGATTTATAACACTATAACTTAGTTATAACTGCAAGTTATTGCGCGCAAAATTAACTCTAACGATCTAACGTTTTCATTATTTGCATTGAATCCCATTATTCAGAGACTACCTCGGTGGTCTGTCGGTTTAATACACTACATTATTTATCTTTAACTGCAAGTTCGATATCCACAAAACATAGATAGATCTATTAATTATATCTCATTATTTTGATCGTCTATAAATTATCTAGTACCCTCATTATAAACTATATAAGTTATTTCTACATAAAAAAAATATGGGGAAATTAGATTGAGATATATATCCACTGTCATTCTTAAAAAACGACTAAAATCTAATAAATAAATAATAGTACATGTAAAAAGTATTTATACCTCTTTTTATACTAACTCTTTAGACATCTAAATGATATACCTGTTTCTTTTAAGCTTGTATTAATCAGTATTGATTTCAATTGTCAAATTCATAATCCCTAATAAACTCTGAATAGATCCATAGATATTTCCATATAATTAATTTTATTACTTGATGAGTCCATGGGTATTATATTGTAATACTCACAGAGAGTGAGTAATGTTATAAATATACAAATAAATGATTTACAAAACTTACGGAACCCAGACGAAATATTAACCATAAAAAAATTGACCATCATTTCATTGGTACACTGACCTATAATTATCAGCCGTACAAACAGACGGTACAATATTAGCCTGACGGTCCATCAGTAAACACATCGCACGTCCATCATCATCTACGTAGGTGCCAAAAAAGTTAACAAGACGTTACTAATCACTCTCACTCTCGCTATTGAAGTAGAATATGGGCTAGTATTGATAAACAACAGTAACATCTTGTTAATAGATTCGAATGTATCAAAAAACCAATATAACTTTGTCCAAACCTAACTTCAACCCATGCAATATAGTCTGCGTATATTTCTATAATAAAGAGTTTTTAAAACCGATTTTATTTATATCAATTACTAATAAATATAAATGAAGTCTTTCCTGTTAATAATATTTTTTTTTATCAACCATGATGGCATAACCTATATGCCTGGGGGAAAGGCGATTGTTAGTAATGTGGACTGATGATCTTATTGCTAGCAATGTACCATCTCTAGTTGTCCTGCACTCGGTTCCCCCTGGAAACCGTCTTGATAATTTTTTGGTAAATTTGCCACGATGGGCTAACTGACCTGACCTCATGCTCACCTTATCATCCTCCACTCCCCGCCAGCGTAAACCCATAAAAACCTAGTAACCTACAGATATTAAATTTAAATGAATTTAAAAAATGGGGTACGTGTTGCAGTGTATCTATATAATTGTGTTTTTAAATAGAACTTATACAGCAGCTTCGTAAGCTGTATTTTCATTAAAGGGATATGAAGTGCAAATACAGATTATAAGCTATGATATCTTAGACCTCCAGAATGGCAAAGCACGAGTGGCATCACGGACATCGTGATGTGTGCTATTCACGTATAGATGCAATATTTACCAATTACCTTCAGACGCGCTGTCCAATAATCCAATATTATAAAAAATATCAGGATCTTATTTTTTTTACTTTATTGTACATGAAACACAACACAATATACAATAAAAAATAAGTATGATAAAAGACAACTTTCTCCTAATTTTAATGAAAATAACAAAAATTTATAACGTTAATAATACATGTCTTAATGAAATATGAAGGACAGAATATAAAAGATGTAGTAACCAGTGTTTGAATTAAAAATATGATACTGAAATACATCTACAGAATAATGTGTTTTTACAATAATTATAACGTAGAACGCCCACGTAATCTAATAAAGACATGGCAGATGTCCAATCTAAAGTTTCCTAGCTATTCAATTAATTTATAAATTTAACGTGCTATAGCACGTAAATCAAAACGCATTAACTTTTATGCGCAAGACAATAACGTTAGCAATAACGGTTAACGTAACAAGATCCGAGTAGCTACGACCGTAACAGTTTGTCCAGTGTAACAACGACACTGTTGCTCGTTTTATCGCATAGAATTGCACACTCCACTACGATTTTTCAATGTCCTCTCTGAACTAGTTAATATTAAAAAAAAATAACTTGTCAGGAGCATTAGGCAACTATCCAAAAGAATATTCGACCATTAACCCCTTTCGGCTAGTATACAGCTCGCATGCACATAATGGAAAGATTCACGTCATAATAAACTATTTTTTTTGCGGGCTACAGAACTAAAAATAGGACTCCGTGCTGCCATAAATCGACAATGCCACATTCAAAGCTGCACTATTTCATAGTGTTGGACTCGCATCTTTCGATAATCAGTTCCTGATACAACACATCTCGTTGCCAGTACCAATAAATTCTACGTGAATTACAAAATTGTAACGTAAACCTGTCATGATTGTTTTATTTTATTATATTGTACTACATAAATAAGTATATATTCGCATTAATATGACTATGAACTTACGAACTATTTATAAGTGGTCTACATTCTCTACGAACTAGTCCATTGAACTAATAAAGTGCAGCCTTACCCAAATATTTATAGCGAACTGGACAATATAGCAGCTTCCAGTGGATTTTTACTATAAAGGATAGTGTTGATAAAATATTATTACTGAGCAGGAAGGAAATACCCTACACGCCTTGTTTGTGGCGCATAACCGCACATAACTTGTGCAAAATAATGCCATGCCTCGAGAAATCCCGCCAGCTTGAAAGGCAAATTCTGTTCTGCGAGATAAGTTCATCTGACGGAGATTTCCGCAGGCGATAGACTCTCAATAATATGATCTTCGACGCGTGGTCAAGCCATAAACAGCGAGCGCGATGATGTCCCCGGGGAGACCCGGGGGCGCGGGGCGTCGGACAATATAGCTGCGGCCGGCTGCCGGCCGCACTCAGCGACACACTGATTTTTAACGCCGTAACAACCGCACGCGCATCTTTAGTTTATTTTCATAGCGTTCCGTATTATTAATGTCGGGCTAAAGCGTTGTAATATAAAGTTCTAGTAATAAACGCATTGGAGATTCTATAACAGTCCACTCTTTCACTCCCTGACGCCTCCAAATTGGTCCTTCAACCACTACTTGGACGACTGGAATTTTATTGCGACGCAAGCAGCATCTAACAACGGCGCACTGGCTTCTTTCAACGGCGCATTGGCTTCATTCAACTGCGCACTGGCTTCTTTCAACTGCGCACTTCAACGTTGCTGTTTAGTCTTCCGACCAGAATTCTACGGGTCTTACAACGCACTAAGAGAAGAACAAGAAGAGGATTACCTATATGGATAGTGCATAAAGACCGTGAGATCGTTCCATTATCTTATCTTTACACATCCATCCTCATATCATCTTCACTTTAACTTCTCCATTATCATAATCATTCCATCATAATTACCATTCATGTAATTATCATTTTCATTACAAACCATAAAAGGTTATTGCCATTTACTTCATTAGTTATTTGCAGTCATAGTATATATATGCGTGATTCCATAGTGTACTGCGTAGTACTGCATAATAATGCGTAGATAGTGATTGATTAGCAAATCTTATTATTATTTTAATCACACACAGTCATTTAACGAATTAATCACAATCAATATCATATTCATAACCATAATACGTGGCATTCTTTCATAAAATCATAACGTAATTAATAACATTATAACCTTAAAACAAATAATTGATCTTGCAACTTGTAAATAGTAGAAATGCAATTAATATCATTAGTCTGCGTTTAGTTGCTTCACTAATAACCAATAAGTATACAATATTTCTATTACTGTGTATTAATTTTTGTTTTTTTTTTCCTAGGTCGTTCGGTAGTTCGACTTTGTACTACTGTTTTTTAAAAACTGCGAAGCGTGGTGCAAAAACATTAAACAGATTAGTATCGTTTCTATTTGCTACTTTATAAAAATAGTAATTTAAAACTATCAGCTATAACAAAATAAAAATAATTATTCTTTTTTATTTCCTTTTATTTGCAATTCAACTTCATCATATAGTATTCATTCAACTCATCTTAATTAACGTTTACAATGTCAGAATCTAAATCAACACAACTAAATCAATTAATTAAAAGACGTGGAACATTTAAAAGTAAACTTACAAATTTTTGCAATTATATTAATATTTTAAAAGAAAGTTCCGCTGTTAGCAATGCAGCTATTCAATTTGAACTGCAATCGCGTATTGATAAAATGGAATTACTATATTCTGACTTTGATAATCTTCAGGGTGAGATCGAGGAACTCGCTGACGATCCTGATCAGAGGTATCAGGAACGAGACGTGTTCGAGAACCAGTATTACTCGGCTGTCGCGACTGCTAAAACCCTGTGCCAGTCATCATCAACTTCGTCACATTCCTCAAATCACGAGGTAAGCTCTCATGATGCTTGTGCGCACAAACACAATAGTTTCGTACGTCTTCCCAAGATACAGCTACCTTTTTACAATGGCAGTTACCAGCATTGGCTTGAATTCCGCGATACCTACATTTCTATAGTTCATTCCAGCACGGTTATTGACGACATAAACAAATTTCATTATCTTCGTGCTTGTTTGCAAGGCAGTGCAGCCCTTGTCATCAAAAGCTTAGATTTTAAAGCTGAGAATTATGCTGCCGCATGGGAATTGTTGTGCAAGAGGTACGATAATAAACGCTTGCTTGTAAACAATCATGTTCACGCCCTTTTCAATGTAAATGCCATCAAAAAAGAATCTAGTAAAGCCTTGCGTTACATAGTTGATGTCACAAATAAAAATCTTAAAGCTTTGGCTACGCTTGACCAGCCTACAGAAAGTTGGGATACTTTAATAATTTATATGATGTCAACTAAATTAGATATTGTCACAAATAGGGAATGGGAGGAATACAGAAACAATCGCAACGATCCACCTACTCTAGATATTTTTTTAACCTTTTTAACTAACAGAGCAGATCTTTTGGAGACTTTGGAGGAGGCAAAAAATAACAGAGGTAATTCTGAATCTACTCATATTCACAAATCCAATAGCTTTATAATTTCTTCAGGTAAAAATAAATCATTTTCATGTCCATTATGCTATCATGAGCACTATTTATTTAATTGTGATGCCTTCAGAAAGCTTCCTGTTGAGACGCGTATTGAAAAGGCTAAGACCTTTAAAATATGCTTAAATTGCCTTCGGCCTGGTCACCACGAATCACGCTGTAAATTATCACATTGCAAATATTGCAAATCCAAACACAACACGCTTCTTCATCTCGATATTCATAATAAGCCTGTCGCACATGACAGCGTTGTGTTATCTGCTGAACCATCTCAGTCTTTAATTAACACAAACCATGTTTTGCTATCCACAGCTATGGTCAAGGTGCTCGACGGCCATGGAAAATCACATGCCGCTAGAGTCTTATTAGACAATGGAAGCACAGGAAACTTTGTCACAAAGGAATTTTGTGCCAAACTCAATCTTCTTACCAACGCTACGAATTCAAGAGTAACAGGCATCAATCAACAGGTATCCACGAGTTCATTGTCATGCTCTCTTACATTGGAGTCTTATTGTGGTGTCTACAGGACGGATATCAATTGTTTCGTTTTACCTAACATCACAGCCTTACTTCCAAATACATATATAGATGTGCATAACTTAGAAATACCGCCTGGGGTTTGCTTAGCCGATCCAAATTTCAACGTGCCGTCATCCATTGATATCCTTGTAGGTGCGGACGTCTTCTGGAATGTGATCGGTACAAATCGTATCCAACTAGGCAAGCACAAGCCAACTCTTTTTGAAACCAAACTCGGTTGGTTGGTTTCTGGTAGCATTTTTCAACCTAGTCCCAAACAACATATATGTATGTTTTCAAACGACCATATCGACTTAACCCGATTTTGGGAACTAGATACAATTACATCAAATTATGAGTTCACTCCAGAAGAACAGGCATGTGAACGTGATTTTATAAATTCTACACAGCGTAACATAGATGGACGGTTTGTAGTTTATATGCCGCTCAGGGAGCCTCCTGACGTTTTAGGCAATTCATATAATGCTGCAAAAAATAGATTTCTTTCCCTTGAGCGTCGCTTAGAAAGAGACGTACATTTGAAACGTCTATATATAGAATTTATAAATGAATATGCCAATCTGGGACATTTGAATGAAGATACATGTAGTAGTAATAAAAACACAATTCAATGCTACTTGCCACATCATGGCGTTCTTAAAACTAGTACAACCACACAACTACGTGTTGTATTCGATGGTTCTGCCCCTACGTCCTCAGGCAAGTCTCTTAATGACATACAATGCGTAGGTCCTACTGTGCAGGACGATTTATTAGCTATATTATTACGCTTTCGACAACATAAATTTGTTGTGTCAGCCGACATTGAAAAAATGTATCGGCAGATATTATTACATGAATCACAACGTCCATTACAAAAAATATTATGGAGGTTCGATCCCTCCCACCCAATTAAATCATATACCCTAAATACACTTACTTACGGCACGGCATCAGCGCCGTTTCTAGCCACTAGATGTCTCACACAATTAGGTCATGAGTCCAGTGATTCTCAAGTAAAACGCGCTATTTGTCATGATTTTTATGTTGACGATTTTTTGTCTGGTCATGATACAATTGAAGGCTGTATATCATTATGTCAAGGTGTTATTGATACACTTAATTCAGCCAAATTTAATTTAAGAAAGTGGCATTCAAATAATTTGTTTATTTTAAATAGTATAAACCAAAATAATGAGATATCTAGTAGCGTAGATCTTAGTGCAAAAGAATGTGCAAAAACGTTAGGTATTTATTGGAAGTGTTCAACTGATTATTTATCATTTTCTATTAATATTATACCGCAAGATAAAGTAACAAAGAGATTTATTTTGTCTACAATTTCGCAAGTGTTTGATCCTCTAGGTTTAGTATCACCATGCATTGTTGAAGCAAAAATATTAATGCAAAAATTGTGGATACATAAATGCTCTTGGGATGAAAGGGTCCCAAAAGACATAGAAATTATTTGGTCAGAGTTTATACAGTTTCTACCACAGTTAAATAAACTTGAAATTCCTAGGTGCATTAAAAACGACAAAACAAATAAAACAGAAATACATATATTTACAGATGCTTCGGAGAAGGCATATGGTACATGCATATACGTAAGAAGTATAGCTAGCGATGAATCAATTGATGTCCGTCTTTTGGCTTCCAAAAATAAGATAGCTCCAATTAAAACCACCACCATTCCACGACTTGAACTATGTGGCGCGCTCTTAGGAGCACGACTATTCATGAAGGTAATGACGTCGGTTACTCTTGAATTTAGTCGTAGTGTATTTTGGACTGATTCTACCATCGTCTTAGGCTGGCTCTCTTCTCCACCAAACCATCTTAAACCATTCGTACGTCACCGAGTTTTAGAAATACAAGAAAATTGTCATTATTGGCGGTATGTACCTACTAAATCAAACCCGGCAGATTTAGTGTCTCGAGGTGTTAGAGCAGATTTATTAGGTAATTCTTCGTTGTGGTGGACAGGCCCTGCCTTTTTAAAATTAGATTCCTCTCAATGGCCAACTAATCCAAATAAATACACTTCCAATTTACCAGAAACAATTCAAACATTCCATATTAATAACAAGCTATCAATAAATAATAATAACACCAATTTAATTTCATCACTAATAAATAAATTTTCATCGCTTACAAAATTACAACGTGTACTTGCATTTGTCTTAAGGTTCATTAATAACTGCCATAAAAATGCAAGTAAATTACACAATAACTTGTCATTATTAGAATTAAATAATGCCACAAATGTTCTATTACGTACAGCTCAGCAGGATTCATTCCCTGAGGAACGTGAGTTACTATTACTCAATAAGCATTTACCCCATAAAAATAGACTTCTGTCATTGACACCGTTTGTTGGTTCTGACTACCTCATCCGCGTGGGTGGCAGGCTTAGTGATTCTCACTACGACTACAACGTCAAACATCCTATCCTTCTATCAGGTAAACATCGCTTATGTGAATTAATATTCGAAATGCTTCATAAAAAACACATGCACTCTGGTCCACAATTACTACTAGCCACCGCCAGACATAATTATTGGCCAATAGGCGGCACTATTTTAGCGAAACGTATAGTTCGTTCATGTGTTAGGTGCAGTAGATTCAAGGGGAAGACTGTCCAGCCCTTGATGGGTAACCTACCAGAAAAACGAGTCCATTTAGAATTTCCCTTCTTAGAAACAGGTGTCGATTATGCTGGACCAATGCTGATAGCTGACCGCAAAGGTAGAGGCTGTAAACTTATAAAATCATATATTTGTGTGTTTGTGTGTCTAGCCACAAAGGCCGTGCATCTGGAGCTTGTCTCTGATTTAACCAAAGAAGCTTTTATTGCAGCACTAAACAGGTTTATAGCACGTCGAGGTAAGCCGCAGACGCTGTTCTCGGACAACGGCACGACCTTTGTTGGAACCTTCCATGAGCTCTCCAAACTTCTCACACAATCATCCTTGACTTCGGGTTTAGCTGAAATAGGTATCAACTTTTCATTCATACCTGCCTACACTCCTCACTTCGGTGGTTTATGGGAGTCACTCGTGCGATCCGTAAAACATCATCTTAGGCGCGTTTTGGACATGACTCACTTAAACTATGAAGAAATGGCTACTCTTCTTATTCAAATAGAAGCCATCCTAAATTCTCGCCCCCTCACACCTCTATCTGATAATCCATCCGACTTATATCCCCTTACTCCTGCTCACTTCCTTGTTGGACGATCTCTGATCTGTTTGCCACATCCTGATATCGTCAATCGCCGAGCTAGCTCTCTTCAGCGTTTCCAACGCATCGAGCTACTCAAGCAACACTTCTGGAGTCGATTTTCTAATGAGTATGTTGTATGGCTCCAACAGAAAACCAAATGGCACCGGTCCTATGGCGAGCTGAAAGAGGGAATGTGTCGTTATCAAGGAGAAGACGTCTGCCCCCTTGATGTGGCTTCTGGGACGCGTTGTACGTGTCCTGCCTGGAAGAGACGGCGTAGCAAGGGTTGCAGACATCCAAACGAAGAGGGGTGTCATTCGCCGGGCATACAATACCATATGCCCCCTGCCTGTCAAGAGCTTTGAACTTGGCACTTCAACGCGGGGAGTCTATGGTCAAGCCATAAACAGCGAGCGCGATGATGTCCCCGGGGAGACCCGGGGGCGCGGGGCGTCGGACAATATAGCTGCGGCCGGCTGCCGGCCGCACTCAGCGACACACTGATTTTTAACGCCGTATCAACCGCACGCGCATCTTTAGTTTATTTTCATAGCGTTCCGTATTATTAATGTCGGGCTAAAGCGTTGTAATATAAAGTTCTAGTAATAAACGCATTGGAGAACCTATAACAGTCCACTCTTTCACTCCCTGACGCCTCCAACGCGTATGTTTCAGCTATCTGTCTTTAATGAAAATAGTGCATTCTTTTTATTCTATTGCATGCTTGAAGTTTGGGAATATTACTGCTAAATTGTATTCGTTTACTTTTAAAAAAATTCAATATACAAACAAATTTATATTCATAAATGTAATAGTACGTTTACGAATGTAAATTCTATAAAGATCATTATTTAGAGTCTAAGTGTCTTAGTTATTTTATTTTACAAAATTAAAAGCAAATAAAATTTCCATAACAATACCATGCTTCATTGATTAATAGTATATAATATAACTGTATACAGAGTGTAACTGGATCCAAGAAAATATAAAAATAACTAACATACTTCATTTACTTATTCGATATTATACCCAATAAATTAAACTCTACAAACAGTGATAGTAAATAATAATACTAATAAACATTAGTTCACACTGTTTGGTCACGAGAGAATAACACATGTACCGTTTATATTTACCCCAATACTTTTTTTACGTGTGTATGTATTATACCCGATATAACTAACAATTGAGGCAAAAATAATTAACTATATATGTTTGTTAAGATTTTTGGGATAATAAAGTTTAATTATATTATTAATATTTCATTAAGAACTAATTTAGACCTACTATAAAAAATCGTATATCATTACTTACAATAAATTAATTCTATTTAATGTTTCAATACATCTCAGTTACTATTATTTCAACAATATCACTGTTTCAGCTAGCTGGCTTTAATATTATAGAAAAAGGTTAATGCAAAACTTAGTTCCTATTTCCCATGGTATTCTAGCGTCTGCAGTAGAAATAACATTAATTCCGTTCTTGTCCAGTGTATCAAGATAAAGAACTATTTACGATAATGAATATCTGTGGAAGATAACTGAGTCAACACGGGGAGTAAGTATTTAAATTGTATTTTTAAACTGTGGGAATTAAAAGTGTAAATTAAAATGAAACTGTTTAATCTAATGAAAACGCCACGACACTTGTATTTTTATATTACGTTCAGCATAACATTTTGTAAGTTTTATAGAATTACGTGAGAAAAGTTAATGGATAAAAATAAAATAATTGTACACATTTGAGTAACTTCAAATATTTTATATTAAAACTGTAGCAAAAATTACTTTATAACTTCAGACGTATATAAGCAATTTTATAAAATTTTCTAGAAATGTTCCCTCTAAATATGGACTTATTTATCGTGGAATGCAGATATTTGTATTATATAACCGGAATGATCGCCTTCCAGAATAGCAGGACACAACGCATAAACTCATAGTTATGCGTTGTGTCCTGCTATTCTGGAAGATTAAGGTATCATATTCCATACCAAGTAATTTTACTGCCATATCTCACCCTTCAAGAGAAATACAGCTTAAAAAGCAAGCGGCTTGATTGCTGAAACAGGTTAGGTACCCATGCAGACGACTTGGTACCTTTGTACTTTGACCAATTAAGGAAAAGGATTATTCAATATTACGATGTGGGGTTAACAATATATTATTACTGAACCTATTTTTATAGCGCTGAAAGTGACAAACAGCACATATTTTGCTAAAATATGCCGCGATTTTCATTGGGAACACCAGACGTGAGATGCCATTCGCACATAGCCGTGGAAGCAGAATCTTAGTAATTTGAGCGATTATGTACGTGATAATCCTGTATAAACTTGTATTCAGGCAAAAATTACTTCGCGGCAAAGTCTAAAAACTTGTACGAGATTCATTATATGGTTGATGTCCCTGCGCGGCAAAGACATAATAAAAGTTTTGATAATGTAGGTACAGTACATCAAACAGTAGCTGTTTTATGTACTTCCATCAGATACTTAGGGAATACGCAATGTACTCCAACAGAACAATTGAAAGGCTTCTAAAATGTTCACAATATTTTTCTAAGACACAAGAAATTTTCACCAAATTGTTCAAGTATTTTCTCAGGTATCTAATGAAAGCTTTGCCGTACATTTCAGTTACAGTTTGCTTACACTGGACAGTTTCGTTCGTCGATGTAAAATTAGTTTATTTAGGTGCCCTCTCCTGGAAAAAAGACTGAAGTAGATAAGAGACTAGATTTCTAGTGGTTGTAAAAATATGTATAAACTCTATATAGAGTATAAAAATATAAACAAAAATTTCCTATTTAATTTATTAACAATACTAGAGAATACTAGAATGACTGTCACCTGGTACAGTATGATGTAATTAAGGTTAATAAAGATCTACCTTTATTATTACAGCTTATATTTTTGTGTATAATCACATTTGTTTCGCCTTTGTATCACTATATGTGAACGAATAATGTACAATAATATTAATTCCACTCATTATTTCAACAATTAATTGACTATAACCGTATTTAATAATACACTAGCTGTTATAATTACGTTTTGTACCTATTGTTTTATATGAAAATCAAAAGCTGTTCATATTCACTGAAACACAGAGAATAGTATACCAAAGTGAACTTTGTGCAATATCGCCTAATTTTGCTGTCAGCAGCTTATTTTGCAAGCTATGTTTTGGATTACAGTGAAATTACAGGGTCCGTAAGTATGACAGCATAGCTACTTATATCAGCTTATGGAAATTGCCACAGCCATAACCAATGTACATATTTTGTGTTGTCCATTGTGACTGTAGGAGACGACCACCCCTTTCCATTAAGTATTCTGTGAGGTCGTTTGTCAATGAATATATAATTTACGAATAGTGGTATTGAAGAAAGTTAAAAAAGTATGCTTCCAAAATTTAAATTAGGATTTTAAACTGAACAAAACGCATGTGCAAATATTATTAGTCAAACAAGTCTAAGAATGGAGTAATTCGTAGATTAAAACTAAAACAATAATACGAAAAGAATATATAGAATTGGCAATTGAATTACTCTAAGCTATCTCAGCACATTTCCGATAGACAATTTCAGAATTGCTTAGAACCAACGAGCAATCTAATCTAAAGTAGTTATAGCTTTCCATAAAAAAAGAAAAGTAGATAATATAATCCCTCAATAAATAACAATCTAATTTCAAATCATTAACTGGATTTTTATCTATTTTTAATTAACTAAAGGCAAATTTAATGAATTTATAATACTATTATAAATTCATTATTCGTATTTCTCAGAAATAGCTTCGTTTTCATCCGGAAGCCTTTTTCAATGTACTGTTGATTCGACACTTATTGTTTTGATATTACCTTTTTTTCTAATACAAACAACCAATTCCAGAAAATAAACAATAAAATTAAGTTATGAATATAATCAACTAATTACCTTCTTCTCAGTGTCCCTTTTCATTATTTTCAACCACAACAAATACGTTTAAAATAATCATGAAACTGAGCATATTAACTTTTTATTTTGCGCTTATTCGTACAATCTAAGCTTAAGCCAAAATCCCATCTTCAAATTTATATTTTCAAATAAAACGTTTAGCTTATATGAAAACTTTTGTTGTTTTGTAAATTAGATGCAACTATGATATGGTTATTCAGTATAGTTGTTGTTACTGTTGTACTAAGTTCATATACAAAACAATATATTTCTTAGAACCGATGCAGTCATTGCAAATATTTAAAATACATTTGACACACTTCCAAATAATTGTTGGTTTACTGTAAATATGTGTACCGCACCATAAATCAAACGTGTAGTGCAAATACAGATAATTATTGTAGTCAGATAATGTTATTGTGTACGTGTTTTAGATTTTGGCTTCGTGCCTACAGCTTGAATGATATTCCAATATTAAGCTCATGGTTACGAGTTGTGGGGACAATCGTCGACAGAACGGTCAGACAAGATAAATATACATATGTTGCCAACATATAGGTCACATAATAATTTATTTGTTTGTAAAATATTCTAGAAACGGACCAAATGCCAGCATAATCATGTTCATATAGTATTATATAGCTTATCTACTATATAATGGCTTGTTTATGTGGTTAAACGCGCTAATCTCAGAAATTAGTGTCTCGAATAGAATATTTATTATATTGGTGGATAGCACATATATTTAAGGAGTCTATATATATACTACTATCTAACAAGGCTATATAACAGCGAGCTATAACCAATAGGAGCCGACCTATTCCTTTTGCAGATTTATGCCGACAAAGGTCCACAGGTCAGCTAGTATATTAGATAATTGTGTGATATAAATAACTTCTTCGTCAGTTTCTGATGTTATTTTTTCTTTAACATTTATTTCAACTTCGCGTTCTTGTTATTATTTATAAAGGTCAACAACGAGGTAAATTAATATTATAAGCAGCTATTTCGGTGAAGTCCTCAAATGCTTGCGGCATATTAGCCTACGTAAATATATATTTCATTTTAGAAATGCCTTTGCTTTCTTTGTGTAATGAAGCGAATATTTAGATGTTATGCTAAATTGTGGGAATTGTAACCCTCGATATAAAAGAGCTAAAGTTTTAACTTTTATATATTTTGACATCGTATAATAGGCATCTTAGTTTTACCTGGTCCAACTTTGAAAAAGTCGTCGTCGTCGTCTCAGTCTCACCTATTTCAGCCTCCAAGCTGGAATTGTAAGCCGTGTTTTGATTAACCGGCAAGATATATAGCAATGGAAGCAAAGGGTATAGCGGCTTGACCATTATTGCGTTGGCAACGCAAAAAATGGGAAACGGGCAAAAAAAAAATTGAAGTTAATCAAAGTAAGTGTCATGAT